TGTTTCTCCAGCAATAATTAAATTGTTGTTGTTGTTTAGTCATTTAGTTGTGTCCGACTCTTCGTGACCCCATGGACCAGAGCACGCCAGGCCCCCCTATCCTCCACTGCCTCCTGGAATTGTGTCAAATTAATATTGGTTGCTTCGATGACACTGTCCAACCATCTTATCCTCTGTCGTTCCCTTCTCCTCCTGCCTTCACACTTGCCCAACATCAAGGTCTTTTCCAAGGAGTCTTCTCTTCTCATGAGATGGCCAAAGTACTGGAGCCCCAGCTTCAGGATCCGTCCCTCCAGCAAGCACCCAGGTTTGACCTCCTTTAGAATTGATAGGTTTGTTCTNNNTTGTTGTTGTTGTTGTTGTTGTTGTTGTTGTTGTTGTTGTCGTCGTCGTCGTCGTCGTCGTCGTCGTCACCACCACCACCACCACCACAATCATCAATTTGTGTGGAATTATTCCAATAAAAATATAACTGGAGTGTGTGAATTAATAGATTAATTTATTTCTCCATTCTCTTCAAATTTGAGGATCCTACATAAGAAACTTTAAATAAATATTTGGTGCACTTTACAGTTTTAAATCTTGAATTACATCTTGATGGCCCATGGCAACGAAAGGTATTTAAAGGGGGTCTGCGGTAAAGAAAAAAACTGCTGAACTATAATAATAATAAGAAGAATAAAAATAATTGCCTGCTATCAAGTTGATTCTGACTTGTGGTGACCCTTTCCAATGTTTTTCTAGTAAGGGGCTTTCTAAATCGAGTAAACAAAAATGGTTTACCATTTCTTTCTTCTGTGGCTGTCCTGTGACAGTGCAGCTTGCTCAAGAGTACACATGATGGCTTTTATGACAGGAAGCACAGTGGGGAATCAAACTCCAAACCTCTGATGCCAGAGCAAGATACCTAATTCATGAGCTGTCCAGCTAACTACTTGAATTATAATTATTAATAATTGTGTGTCCCCAAGTTAATTCTGACCCTTTTCAGGGTTTGCTACCATGGGATACCCTGGGACTTTACATCTTGCCCAATGCTACACAGGCTAACTCTTCTAGGGGCCATAACGGGGAATTAAACTCACAACCTCGAGTTCTAATACCTAACACAGTAAACTATCCAGACAGCTATCCAAACTGCTGTTATTGCACAGCATCAAGGCAGAATTGACTTACAGTGACCGTAAAGGACTTTCAAAGTAAGTGGAATGTTTAAGGAGTGGTTTTATAAGTTCCACACCCCCAGTGAGTTTCCATGGCTGAGCAGGGATTTGAACTCAGGCCTCTTGAGTCCATCACTCTGCCTGCTGTATTAAAACGCACTGGGTATAATTTGAACTATATAAGAGAACATTTATACATGTTTAAAATGAATAAGTCTCTTACAGTATTTTTTCAGCAAATAGAGGCCTTTGCAGCGTATTGTGTAGAATCATATTAAGTCCCATTTATTTGTGGGGGGAGATAGTTGAATACTAAAGAAAATTCAAATCCAAGGTAATTATCATACATTGCCCTGGAATTGAGAAAAATTTTGTTGCTTTTCAACTTCATTTTTTCATCATTATGTCTAGTCAGATCAAGGATGTTACTGAACAGATGAAGGCTTATTGATGCAGCACACAGGTATTTGGCTGAACTTCTTACAGAGAGAAGAACATTAATGTTAAATAAATATTATTATGATAAGGATGCAGTTGACAGATCTTACTTTCTTGGGCTCCATGATCACTGCTGATGGTGACAGCAGCCTTAAAATTAAAAGACTTTTGGGAGGAAAGCGATGATAAATCTAGACAGCATCTTAAAAAGCAGAGACATCACCTTGTCGACAAAGGCCCGCATAGTCAAAGCAAATTTTTTCAGTAGCGATGTATGGAAGTGAGAGCTGGACCATAAAGAAGGATGGCCACAGAAAAATTGATGCTTTTGAATTGTGGTGCTGGAGGAGATTCTTGAGAGTCCCCTGGTCTGCAAAGAGAACAAACCTATCCATTTTGAAGGAAATCAACCCTGACTGCTCACTGGAAGGGCAGATCCTGAAGCTGAGGCTCCAATACTTTGGCCATCTCATGAGAAGAAAAGACTCCCTGGAAAAGCCCCTGATATTGGGAAAGTGTGAAGGCAAGAGAAGAAGGGGACAACAGAGGACGAGATGGTTGGACAGTGTCATCGAAGTTACCAACATAAATTTGACCAAACTCTGGGAGGCAGTGGAAGACAGAAGGGCCTGGCATGCTCTGGTCCATGGGGTCACAAAGAGTCGGACACGACTTAACAACTAAACAACAAATATTATTATATATGTTATGCATTAAAGTAGCAGGTAAGTTAATGTTTATTTTATTAGGAAATTTTATTCTAAAGATTATGCTGTAATAATTACATAACTCTAAAATGATTGCAAACCATATTCTCTGCACTAAAGCCGTCACTGGACAAAACAGAGGGTGAAGTGTCCTTTAAAAGTTTTCCCCCCACAAAGAAATCAACTTCAGCATAAAAAGCATTTCCTACTGAAGGGCTACAGAAGCACCGCCTGGCTGCAGCAGTAGTGCATATAACTTGTGGCCAGCTAAGATCAATGCAGACTAATAGTCATAAACATGATCTCCCAGGTGCTTGAAAAACATTTCTTTTTGCATCCCAAGGAAAAATAAAACACCATCCTGCTCCCCTATAGCATGTACAGAACTGCTAACAGTTAAATTACACAGTTTGTAGGCAGCTTTTGACTCAATACACTTGGTGTCCTATGTGACTATTTAACAGCAAAGGCCAAGTTATGTTTTAAAACTAACCCATTTCCTGTTTGAGCTGGGTTGAGCCAGTTTGCTGACCTCTACTGGGAGTACATACAAGTGGATGACACATTCACTATTTTCAAATAGTTTCATGGAAGAAAGCGAACCACAAAGACAAACAGATGAACAGACTGAAAATATGGAAAACAATTTGTAGTATGTGAAATGTGAGAAACAGTCATTTTAATTACATGCATGCATTTACAGATTTAGGATTCATTGCTAGTTTTCTTTTCTTTCTTCCTAAAAAGTGAGTCAAAAGATATTCAACACGGTACCAAACTACCAAGATTTGACCTGAATGTTATTCATGAGCTGGCAAACGATTACTACCTAACCTAAATTAACTTTATTGATAAAAGAAATAAAATATCCAGTTCATTTGTAATTTTTATATCCCTCATTAAGAATTTTGTGCAATGTAAATATTTAAGTCAGTCATGAGAAATTGCACCACAGGTATAGAACACAATTTTGTCAAAAATCTACTCAGGGCAGATAATCAGTTTACAGAAGCCTGCATGCTAGAAATAATATTTTCTGTATGTTGTGAATTTACAAAGGAAAGGGAAAGACTAGTTTGTTGCATGTATGAGCAATGAGCAGCATGCTACCTCCATCTGATGGACTCTGTAGCCTCTCCCCATTCCAGATTGGGGACTAAACATGGAGAATCTAATTTGAAAGGTGGTAGTATTTTAAACCAGAGTGCATGCACCTCCCTGCGCCTTGTCTGTTTATTTTGGTCACCAGAAGGGGACTGGACAATTCCGTTATTATGAAGAGGTATTGGTGCTGCCTACAGTAGGTCTGGGGATAAGAGTAGACAACCAATGACATGACTTAGTTATCATCTATATTAGTGAATTTTAAAAAAATCAGTTTGAAGGTACTATATACTAGATTTTGCATTTTGCAGAAATGCAGAGTTTGGAAAAGATCAGGACTTATAATATACCATTGCAAATGAATACCTGCCTGTATTCTCTTTGCACTGTTATATGTGATTACCTCTAGAAAAAAAAAGTACCATTGCCATCTCAGGTGGCTTTTTTAAAAACTTCCAAGAAAAGAAAAAAATTAAATGCCTGCTTTCATTCCCACAGGACAGATAACAACTCTGTGCTGAAGTCATGCCCGGTTTCTGAATTTTTCCTGCACTCTCCCCAAATGAATGCAAACTGGATTAATTCATATTCTGATTTAGCTTTAGATTCTCATGCTAGTATTTTAAAAAATATGTGCACTACTCTGCCATTAGAATATGTGTTTTCTATTCTGCAGGACAGGTATTGAAAAGGTAAACTGAAACTCATTGATGTTTTTCTGGCATTGCAATCTATTGCAGTTTAACAAAATGTCTGGCTGTTTTTCTCTGAATTCCATATTTTAAAGTATAGGTTAAATCCCATGTATGCTGCCAAGACAAGTCCCTAATGTCTGAAGATCAAACAGTTACACATTGCGACGACGAACCACATGTAGCTCAGCCATTACAAAGCTTGCTTTACATGGGAAAAATCTTTCTGTTGCAGGTTTTTTTTTTGGCTTAGTAGTTCGCAAAACACTGTTAAAGAGTAAAAGTTTACTCATACTTGTTTGGACTGAACACTCTTGCATCAAGGAAGGAACCCTGGTGCACAGATGTAAAAAAATTTGAGGAGAGGGCACTTGTACAGTTGGAACATCCTCTGCAAGCACTCAAGAACAGAGAGGGGTTACCCTGATCCTGCAAATTCCCCCTCTCCCACACCTCCTTGGCCGAAGGGACATGCGTGTTGTCCCTCTTCTTCCGACTGTTACCAGAAAAGATGCTCCAGGGAAGTGTTGGCAAGATACCTTCAGCTGCAGCATGTAACTTCTCTTTTGCCTGCCCAAGGCATGCCAAGGTGTAGGGGAAGGGGAAGAGCCAGGCAGCGACAGATAAAGGCTTTTCTCAAGCACTCTGGAAGTATCATAGTATTGGGGGGGGAAACGGGAGGGGACTGTACACTATCTTGTCTTTATAAAATCTGCCTAAGGCTACACTATAAATGACTTACATTATTATGACTTACATTAAAAACCCACTCATTGATTCCTTGTGCTGTGATTTTTATAACAAATGTTTATCTTGCAGAACTATCAAGAATTAATGAATGACTGATTTGTCCTCTCTCTGAAAGGAACAAGTGAGTGGACTGTAACTACTCTTACCTGTACTCTGAGTATGTGGCAGGGACAGTTAGCTGGGTATGGTACAATGGAGCTGGACAGCAAAACTGGTGCAGAGTATTTAAAGACCTACGACACAAGGAAAAACAAAGTCAACACACTGAGTGTCTAGTAAGGGGCTTTCTAAATGGAAAGGTAGGTGCTAATGGTTATATCTTGAATTTTTAGTAAGATTGCACTTTATATGAGGAAAAAAATATTTAAAATCCTGGAAAACATGGGGAGGAGCCCCCCACAGTAGATATATCTATCAGAAATGAGTTTGATGAGTGACAGTTATGGAAAGTCAAATTATTCTTGTTGGGGGAGAAAAGGTTAATATGTAACAAATTTTTAAATTGACATTTTTGGTATAGTATGTGGAACAGTACTAGTGAAGGTAAAGGTTAAGGATTGGCTATGCAAAACAAGATCTGTAGATTACTCTGCACCAGCCTAGCTGTTCTTTCAGGTTAGTCCAGATTAGACTATGCTGTCAGGCACTAGGAAATAATTAGATACTGGAATAAATATATAATGTTCAATGTTCTTATAGCATAGTTTCCGAAAATAAACTAACAGCTTCTTACGTAATTATGCAATATCCTACATGCCTTTTCAAAATACCATAGATTCAAGCCTGAAGATATGTTTCCTAGGCTTTGGGTTATGAAAAATTACTTTAAATGTTATTTCCCAGTATATGTCTACAACTAATTGAGTAAAACAAAACACAAGAAAATAACTTAAATAAAAAAGCACAGCAACAGAAAATTATATAGCAAAAGAAAGCATGCTAAAAATGCAAACTACAAAGCAGCATAACTGAGCCTTATGTGGAACATTTTATAGGCTTAGTCTTTCCTTAGATGGTCTCCAGCAGCTACTCTACTAGCCTGAGGAACCTGAAAACACTAAGAACTTGTGGGCAAAACTTTGTTTTCTTTTCCCTCCCCCTATTTCCCTCCCTTCTACGTATTTTTAGATTTTAAACCTGGGTTAGAGGCTGTCTTACCTCTTATAATTTTTACTTTTACCTGCTCTAACAGTGTTTCAAGCTATAGAGGGGTGTGTAAATGCAGTAAATACTGTACATGCATACATACACCTCAAACTTAATTTCGTATAAAAAATACCATATGATGAAACATAATCTCAGTTTCCTGAGTGTTGTAATCTGGATATTTGATCGCAATTTTGCAAGACAAAAGTAATTGGTTTGGGAAAAAAAAATACTGTCTTTGAGAGTTGTGATCATTGTGCAAATGATATTGGAGACTATTTATGACAAGATTAAAATACTAAACGTAGACGTACACCACTTTGACACTTTTGTTTCTTTTCTTCACAACAGTTTCCTGGGAGCTTTAAAAAACCCACAACAACCCAACAACAACAGGAAGACCAAATAATATATTCTTAGTTTCGCTGATTACAGAGACAGTTTTGTGAAGTTATCCTCTTAAAAACATTAAAAAGAAGAGTTAACCAGAAAATGTCATGCTGTCTTTCTCTAGAAAGAGGCGGGAATCAAACTAATCTTTTAAAAATGAAGGCCCAATTGCTCCAAAACTCAGACTAGCAACATGACATCAAAATGAATCTTCTTCCATATATTTGGAAACAGATGTCCACACTTGAAGTACTTTATCATGACGGAGATCCCTTAGTAAGTCACCATATAAATGAAGTATAGGAGGAAAACGGAACTCTTATAGGTATCATAATACAGGTGCTGTAATCCTAGATAGTGTTTGATAACAAATATTATATAGTAGGCAGCTGGCAAATCAAACATGGATGGTTGAGTTTGTATGTTTGCAAGTAAAAGAAGAAAGGCAGATCCTTTGCACAGCTCCATAAGAAAATTTTGGCCATTGTTACAAATACCAGTAATATCAATCACTTGTTTTAGTAATCCAAAATCATCCAAAATATTCTAGTTTAGTCATATTTAGCAGGCAAATATGGTACATGTATGAGGAGCTTTATGGAAGGTCTTGCCAGTACTAAAAAAATTAATTCTACAGCTTAATGAATTGTTTTGCAAGGAATTAGTTTTTAAAATTCATCATTATTATCATTTACATTGTAAACAAAATGGATTCTTAGAAATAAATCTGAAATTCAAAACAGCCCTATCCAAGGTTCCCGCTACTGTGGGTGTGCACACATGTGCACAACTCTGCTTCCCTCCGCACAGCTGTCTTCCTCCTCCATACAGCAATCATGTTAGGTTCTAGTTGCAATGAAACCCAGCGTGTGTGTGGGGGGCAGAGTCACATGTGCATGTAGGGGCAAAGCCGTGTGCATGAGAGGAGGAGCCACGCCCAGCGGGGCTGAAAGTTAGACAGAACGTTGGTGCTATCCCATTAAATATTTCTCCTTGGTGCTAAATGCCTGACTATGCTGATATGGTTTGATTCACTAATTCACTTTGAGGAATATGTGACCCTCCAGATTTTGTTCCACTGCAATTTCATCAGTTTCATCAATACTGAGGGATGGCAGATGTCCAGCCAATCCAGACGGTCTATCTGGAAGGTCACATGTTTCCTATTCATGGCTTCATTCTGTTTCTAATCAATTACTGAGATGTGAGAGTGTTGGGGAGTAAAGAGGAGGTTGCAGACACAAGATAAGAGTGATAAAACTGGCTAATAGATAAAAAGGATGTATTGGTGTTTGGACCAGAATGAGGCTAATGATGCAAGGGAGAAGAAGCTGGGAACACATTTGTGTAGGAAAAAAGCATCGCAGGATACATATTCAAATGCAAGCATGTGCTCTACGTTTTGAGAACAGAAAGCGGCAGATGCTCCATGGTAAGTAAGGCACTTGCAAAGAGGTATTTAGGAACCTAGAGTGGTCGAAATGACCAGATAGGCAGGGTATAAATAGAATAAACAAACAAACAAACAAACCTTCACTCCCCTCCAGAAATAGGAGTGCAATTGGAAGCTCCTGGAATGGAAGTGAGAGGGTAAAATTGAGTGCTTAATGAGAGGAGAATTCAAGTATTCTGTATTATTTTGGACGGGAAGCAGTGGAGATAGTCACACCCCTCCAGAAAGAGGAGTGCAATTGGAACAGAATTCAAGTATTCTGGATTATTTTGGACGGGAAGCAGTGGAGATAGCCATCATTTGTTTTCAAAAGTGAGAATTGTTGATACCTTATTATATATAGATCACATTGAAAGCTTTATCCTGTAATTCCAAGAACATGGGGAGTATAGCAGCTACAGCTGCTTGATAGCTATGAAAATGCACTTCATATATGCCCAGACGTACCATTACTGAATTCTTGCATGTCATGTCATGTCTCCCTGCTTTTGTTCTCAGTAGCTATCTGATTTCATGTACTTTCAGTTTCCAGCTTCCAATTGTTCAGTTTTGTCCAAACACTCAGACCAAGGACAATTAAAGAGTATGACACTTCTGAAGAAAGTTATGCACATCCCTTTTTGGAAGCAGGATTGCATGAATTGCTATAAGAAGAGAGATGACAGCTGAAAAATTGGGAAGTCTAACTGAGACACAGAAAGGTTGAAATGGTTTCCACACATTTTAACAATAGTCCTTATCTTAAACAGAACCACTGTTTTAAAATTATAATGACATCCTTCCCATATAGTTTTAAAAATTTCCTTAATCCAAATGGTCTTTTATTTACATAGGTGATCTGCAATTTCATCTTCCAGTACTATTTCAAAGTTCCCGTACTAATTTCCAAAATAATGAAGTATGTATTTATGAGAGCAATGGTGATGCAGTGGATAGAGTATCAGGAAGGACTCAGAAGACTTGGGGTCAAGTAATTACAGTGCCTTGTAAACTCACTGGAGAGGTGGCAACGGTAAACCACTCCTTGAACATCTCATATTCTTTGAAAACCCTACAAGGATCAGTGAATGTCAGAACCAACTTGACTGTACATAACAGTCAAGCAGCAGCAGCAGCAATATGTACAGTATTTATATCCTAGTAAATGAATCAGAGAACATACTACTGAATACTGAAGCTTTCTGGATTGTCCAAGATGAATGTTCCTCTTATCAGAAAACCATTCTAATGTTTGAATAATGGCAGCAGAACAAATTAAATGTAAAGTTATCCTTAACATGAATTTTTGCTCTTGAATAGGTTTGTCTTGTGCATTTGCCTTCAGCAGTAGCCCTGCGTGGAAAGGCACTTTTCTCAGACAAGTAAATTATACAGTACTTAAATTTGTATACCTCTCCCCATTAGTGCCAAAGCACTACTCTGCACAGTTCAAAATTAAAAAAAATTTCAAGATAACATTAAACTATTTAAATCATTATCCAGTGTTTATTTATTTTTTTATTTATTTTATTTATATCCCACCTATCTGGTCGGGTGAGGACCACTCTAGGCGGCTAATAGCAACTAACCAATAAACCAGATGGTGCTAAAGCAATAGAACAAAAAAAAGTGGCTGACAAAAGGTGGTAAGCTAGGGTTGGTGTGGAAAGCCTTCCTGAAAAGCCACGTCTTCAGTTACCTCCTGAATGTCCACAGGGAGGTGGCCAGGTGCTCCTCTGGAAGCTGGTTCCACAAGGTTGAGGCCACCGTGAAGAAGACCCTACTTCTAGTAGGTGAATTACGGGCTTCCCTCACGGTGGCCACCTGAAAGAACTTTGCCTGTGATGATCCAGTGGGTAGGGCAGATGACACTGGGGAAAGACACTCCAACAAGTAACTTTCAACTGTAAAACTGTATACTTCTAGGAGATCACTCCCGAAGTCTGACATAACCTGGGATTCATTATAAACCATTCATGATTATTCAGACATTCATGATTATTCAAATATATATATTCTTACAGATTTAGCGAGGGCCAGTTGCTTTTGCATTGGCATGCAGTCATTCATTTCTGCAGAACTTTATTTCATTTTGAGGCAAACACATTTGAATATATACATTAAATACTGACATGGAAGTTAATTAAAAACACACAAAATAAATTTATGTCCAAAATTCATATATACAGGACCACTTTTGCAGAAAAATTTTATATTTTTATAGTTGTGCACTTCATTTATGCATATTATTTTATTATCATAAGC